TGAGGGGGAGAGAAATTTCGTCATCTTCGAAGTCATCGAGTTCTGGTTCGAATCCTTCGAAGTGGGAATCAGCAACAACATAGGAGTGAGAAAGAGAGGCGAAGAGGAGAGAGAGAAGGAAGAAGGAGATCCAGAGCGAGGTCGGCTTCGCCATGGCTGATTGCTCTCCCCGGCGCCGGAAGGAGTGGGAGAGATAGAGAGAGAGGGAAAAAAAGACGAGTACAAAAGCTCGAAATCTGAACCAGAGATGGTGAAGTGGAGTGGGAAGTCAGCCTCGTCAGTGGGCTGGGCCGACTGGACTTAAAGAAACGGACTCGGCCCATTTAAAATGTGGTTGGGCCGGTTAAATATTAACTTTGGGCTAGATTTAGGCTGACCTTTGTTTTCATTGGACTGGGCCGCTCAACTCAAAGAAACGAGCTCGGCCCAGGCAAAATAGGCTGAACCCGAACAAGTAGATATCCATATTCAATTCAATGTGTGAACAGTTGTAATTATGTAATTAAAAAAAATTATTATTTCGTGCTACAAACAAAAGATGTTTCTTATTCTTGGTAGAAGACGTAAAGAGAAATGCCAAACACTTTCATTTTCTGAATTCCATTTTTTTCTTTTTTTTGAAACAACCTTCCATGCTTTTCAACCACACAAAAGGCCTATCAAAAGAACTTCACGAAATACTAATAAGAACAAAACACAATTAAAACAGACAAACAACGTATATACTCATAAACGAGAGGCAATACAACAACTCATTTATGGAAATAAGTCTCAAACAAACTCTATTAATGTTTGGGAACTAGAACGAACGGTATCACGCTAAGTAATAACATATCTCACTGAAGATATTACAAATAGTATCACATTGCTCTTAAAAAATTTGCTACACACTGACTACGCATCTCCCAGGTGTCTGTAAGAAAAAAAATCATTTCAAATATTAAAGCATATATAAATAATAAAAATAAATGATTACACAATTTTTTAAAGAATAATTAAGGACTCAAATTATAAAGGGAGAAAAAGTACCTGTTTTTAGTTGTTTCCACACCTAAAAAATTTGAAGAATGCATGTCTCCATCTTCTATTGAGTACCAAACTCCCAAATATTCCCCAGAAACCCACAATAAATCCAAACAACATGCTTATCAGAAATTCTCGTCCAAACCATTTCTCTTCATTTTCATTTTCATTTCCATTCCCAATGCTGGGATTTGGAGTGATTTCTGGGAAGCATTTTTCCAGTGGATCTCTACAAAGATGAGAATTGCCTTCATAAGAAGAAGTTGGAAAGGCTTGAAGTTGAGTTCCTGTAGGAATTTTCCCCGAAAGATTATTGTACGACAACTTCAATACTCTCAATCTTGATATTTGAGATAAACTCGATGGAATTGGACCTGACAAATGATTTCTCGACAGATCCAAAGATTCCAATGATTGAAGTTGACCAATTTTGTTGGGAATTTGACCCCTTAGCTCATTTCTGGAGAGATTCAAAGTAATCAAACCAACAAGTTCTGTGATTTCATTGGGAATTTTTCCACTCAAATGATTGCAAGACAAATCAACGCTTCTTTCAAGTTTCATCAACTGTCCTGTGATGAGTCTCTCTTAGCCTTTCCACACCATGAAAAGATCATTCCGATAATAATAAAAATGATAGTGATCATTTTCGTTTGATGTTTGTGCTAAGACATTGAAATTACGGATGCAACTTGGTATGATCCCAGAAACATTATTGGACGAAATGTCCAATACTTGAATATTTGTGAGGTTGCAAAGACTCAAAGGCAAATTCCCACGAAACTTATTCGACTTCAAATTTAGAAAAGTCAAATGTTGTAACTGTGATCCAATCCACGATGGTATTGTTCCAGATAAACTATTATTTCTTGCATCAATCACTTCCAAATTGGTCAAGTTGAACAAATAATGTAACCCTCCTGAGAATTCATTATCTCGTAGAAATAACGAATTCAAACTAAGGAGATTACTCATGGAATGTGGGAGCTCTCCCGAAAAGTAATTACTTGACAAATTTAATACGACTAAACTGAACATCGAATTCCAACAATTTGGGAGTTGTCCTGATAATTTGTTGTTTGAGAGATCAACAATCAATCCAGGAGAGAAGACGGTTTCACATAAGCCATTTAAGTCTGAAAAATCATTACTTGAAAGATCAAGGAATTGTGCTCGAAAAAGAAAGGACGGAATTCGCCCCAGACTTTAAACTGATACCAGATGCTATGTTGAACTCCACAGGCAAATTTGGGATTTCACCCATCATTTTATTCCCACTGAAATCCATGTAATGAAACTTTGTAGACAAATTATTCCAAAACCAATGAGGAATAGTGTCTGAAATCTCAGCATATGAAATGTCAATGGAGGACAAATTTTGAGTTTGAAGCCACTTGGGAAAAAGTGGGCCCAATTTGCAATATCCCACAGAGAGGTAATCCAATTGAAAAGGAGGAACCCAATTAGATTTGAAGCTTAAAATCAAAGAATTATTGAATAGTTCCAAAAATTTCAAATTTGTAAGCTTTGAAAAATGTGCCTCTTTCTCCTTCTAATGAATTTTGGAAAAGATCCAAGTAGTTCAAGTTGGACAATTGTCCCAAAGTTTGAGGGATTTTTCCCCAGTGAATTCAAATGAAGATTTAAGTTCTCCAAGTGAGATAATTGTCCCAAATTTTGGGGAATGTTCCATTCAGCATGTTGTAAGAGAGATCTAATCTTTTCAGAGATGGAAGCGTAGCAAAGTTGGGCAAGACTCCCAAGAAATTGTTTGATGCAAGGTCTAGATATTGTAACGAGTTAAGTACACGACGTGGAAAAGCTCTAAGAAAATCAGATAGCAACCCTCCTATGTTATTGCTAGATAAGTGTAATGAATTTAAACTACGAAGATTTTCTAAAGACTTGAGAGAACTAAAATTAACTTCAGTGGATGTAAGATCGAGAAATACAAGACAAGTCATATTTTCAAAATCATCGAAGTTCAGACCTTTCAGTTTGTTGAATGCAAGATTCAAGTGGACAAGACTAGTAAAGTTAATCAACCATGAGTTATAAATCGAAGAATTGAGTTGATCGTTGGAAGAAAGGTCCAACTCAACTAGAAATCTAGAGAAATTGGTGTATGAAAAATGAGATAGGCCAATAGGTTGTGAAAGGTTACACTGGCTTAAGGACAACCTTTGCAAAAGGGGGAGCTTGTTAATGGCGGTTGCCCAATCATTAGCCAGATGAAAATCAACCGAACTCAAGTCGAGATGTTCTAGAGAAGAAAGACTCGTGAGCCATCTAAAATTGTCATTTAACCAACCATTTGATCCAAGATCAAGAACAGACAATTTTGAAAGGTTCCCAAGATGGGGAGGAATGACACTCGCAAACTGATTATGGGACAGGTTGAGATAATTCAAATTGACAAGAGAACCAATATCCTCAAGAAGAAATTGATCGAAAGAATTATGACTAAGATCTAAGTATTTGAGGTGTGACAATTGAGTTATAGAAGAATCAACCTCACCCATCAAAAACTTATCATCTGAGCCACGAAGATCAATCCCAATGACATGATAATCTCCAGTTTTGTTGCTGCATCGAACACCTCTCCAACTGCAGCAATCATTATTGAGCCAAGAAGAGAGTACATCATGTTCGTCCACGAGGCGTTGCTTGAAGGATAAGAGCGCTTGTCTTTCACTCTCGACACACTTGATATTCTTTGGAACAGATATATTGAGTCCCAAGGCAAGATCTGTGGGTAGTGAAAGAAAAAAGAAGAGAGCGATGGAAGCAAAGGGCCAAATTAGAGTGATGGACATCATTTTGTGGCTGATGTTTGATGACTTGGTAAATTATGTTCCCAAACTCATCAATTTATAATAGAATTAAAACTTTCCCAAACTTTAATTAAAATGTGACATATGACTTATATATTATGACACTTTTACATTTGAAATTTATTTTTCAAATTAATAATCATAATTTCGTGTATAATAAGATGTTTCCTCTAGTATTGTTCAATTTGTCTTTTCAATTTTGTGCCCAAGTTAGTGGCAAAGAAAATAAAATTCTAATTCATTATTATTATTCATTCTTCATTTTCCGAAAAAAATGAATTATAATTACTTTCTAGATCATTTTTAAATTTGAAATAATTGGTTGAAACTTATTCGATTAGAAAAAAAAGAAATAGATAACTTCTAACCTTATTAATATGGTATAAAATATCCAAACTAATCATATTTACGTGCATATTTCAATTTTTAGTTTTTTTTTAATTAATCTAACTAAGGATTAACCCTCCAAATATATATTTCTTTTTTTTTTGTTTAACAATTTATTTGTTTTATTATAACCAACTTCTTGATTCTTTTTTAATGGGATTTATTATTCTATGAATTGTAGACATAATAACTAGGCAAAGGTCAAAGTCATTTAAGTATTAAAATATATATATATATATATATATATATATATATATTTTTCATTGCAAAAAGAAAAAATTTGAAAGATTTTACTAATTGTGATTATTATTCGTTCTAAGTGGAGACCATCTAATGAGTCAAGGTCAAAGAAAACCTTATTTTAGATGTCACCATATCTAAATTAACTAAAGTTGGGTCACAAAATTTGTCATAAAAATTCATTTTTCAAATCTTTTTATACTAAAAATATTATATTGTTCTCTGTGATCTAACGAAAACTTTTAACTTTAATAAAAATAACTATATAAAGATAAATTTTCACTATAGATCTAAAATAAATTTGTATCTTGCATAATTTTATGACTGAATACAAAAATCACAAAAAAAAAAAAAAAATTAGAAAAGTCTCGTCATATGGTTGGATTATTCTTTCTTTAATAATGGGCCCGAGAGGAAGAGGAAGATATTATTAAATTTATGACAAATTGCACAAACCATCCCTAAAGTATGATGGTTGTTACAATCACACCTTCAAACTTTGAATGGTAAATTAAACCCTCAAACTTTCATAGGGTTAAAAAATTACGCCCCTCAACTTTCAATTTAAAAAATTTACCCAAAAAAAAAAAAAAAACACTTCATTTGTTTTCACTCTCCCCTCTTGCTGGTTCCTCTTCACCATCACCGGCAAATATTGAGGCCAAGAGAGATGGGTATTTTGTGTTCTGCGAGGAGGAAATGGATTCAGTCTGAAATCTGGAGCATAATTATTCCAATATTGAACGTATTTACCGTAATTTTTTTACTTGAGAATGAAATCGAACTGAGTATGAAATTAGGAGTATAAAACCATCATAATCGAAGCTTCAAAGCAAAATCCATTATAGAAAACTTCAAAATAAAACGAACCAACCACTAGCAGAAGAGGCGAGAAGGAATTCAGAAATTTTGTCTTCTAAGTAATTTGTACATGGAAATCAAAATCCAGAAATTATTTGCGTTAAATGGGGGGATGAGTCGCATATTATTCTTCTAGTTTCGTGAAGTTCAGTGAGTGCACGAGGAAAAGCCCGTCTTCTCCCATCCTCTCTTCGAATGCCAAAATCTGTACCGCATAGTTATTCTCTAGATTTCGATTACCCATCTCTCTTGGCCTCAATACTTACGGGTGATTGTGACGATGAAGAGAAACCAGCAAATTTTCTCGAGAGGGAGGGAGAACAAGGAGAAGAGAAAAGGTAGGAAGAGAGAGAGGAGAGTAAAAATAATTTTAACTTTTTTTTTTTTTTATTTTAAAAGTTTAGTTTTTTGAATTCGAAATTTTAGGGTGCAATTTGTTACTCTACAAAAGTTTTGAGGGAGTAATTTTTAAAATTAAAGTTTGAGGGTGCAATTTTTTACTTGTAAAAGTTGAAGGATTTAATTTTTACAATTAAAAGTTTGGGGTGTAATTGTAACAATTATCTTACTTTAGGGATGATTTATACAATTTATCCTTAAATTTATAAGTTTACGCAAAAACCAGCATATAGCTCCCAGTAATTAATATATATATATATATATATATTTATTTATTTTTTTGAAGAAACAATAATAAATATTTGGAAGAATGAAAAGTATTATAACATGGATATACAAATGTAATTATTACAAGTCTTTCAATTATATCAAGGGGAGACCTAAGGTCAAAGTCTATTTTAGGTGTCACCATCTAAATTAATTCAAGTCATTGGTTACAAAAACGGTCATAAGAATTCATTTTATGAACCTTTTTATACTCACAAATATCATTTTTGGTTACTTTTCTGAATTTGTTTTATTTAATGTTCATATGAATTCTTTTGTTATGGTCTTTAAAATTTTAATTAATTTGGCTAAGAGGGTATTTTTTTAATTTAACCCAGGATTAGAAAAACTTTAATTTTATAGTAGAAATGTTTTGGCCCTGTATGTACAAGCTTAATAATTTAAATTAATTATTTTGACATTCTTCTCTCTCTTTTTGCCCCAATTTATCCCTAGATTCTTCTTCTTTTTTGGGCTTTGTGGATGAGCCATTTTCGTTTTGCAAACAACAAATTAGAAAGAATTTCAATTTACAAAATAATGAGATCGACTCGAACTTGGATCTTTGGTATCAAAGTGTATATTTGTATTACTTGGTAAAGAAAGTACGAACTTAATGTTAGACATAATTTATTCGAGTGCAGCCCCATATTTTTAATTAGTTGGATAATTAATTTTGGACTAATAAAAATGTGAAGCTCATAACAGGTAAGTTAAATTAAATATCAGCTCCCTAGTTCCTAAAACTATTTATTGATAATTTTTTGTAGAAATATCCTTTTTAGTGGGAAAGTAAAAAATTGAAAAGGCAATCAATTAATAATTCGGTCTAAGAGGGAAAAATAACCCAAATTTGATAGCGACTTTGCTATGTATATGTTCCATGTTGGGTTTCTCATATTAATGAATGAAAACTTTAGGTCATAGCGAGCTAAGGATATGAAACTTACGATAGAGGTTAACCCTCTTTGTTAGATTTTAAAATAATTCATTATTTTTTAGAATAGAAAATAACATACATATAATTAGCATAGGTAGGTATGTAAATATATCTCACGTTAAAAAGATCATAAGAGACTTAATAAAAGTTTATAACAGAACTAAATACTCTTCGTACCGACAATTGATTTTGAGATGTAACCGATGAATATTAATAAAGTAATTTGGAAAAACAAAACAACCTTCGAATGATACATAGGGGTTGCTTTGAAACTGGTGAGACTTTTCATTTCTTTTGTGACAAATTTTAAATATATTACAAAGAAATATGGATTGATATGAGATCAAGAGGCAAATAAAACAAATAGACCTACCAAAAAGATATCGAAGAACATTAAAAATAAGAAATAAGGACTCAAATTATAAATGGAGAAAAAGTACCTGTTTTTAGTTGGTTTCCACACCTAACAAATTTGAAGTATGCATGTCTCCATCTTCTATTGAGTACAAAACTCCCAAATATTCCCCAAAAACCCACAATAAATCTAAACGCCATGCTGATCAGAAATTCTCGTCCAAATAATTTGTCTTCATCTTCATTTTCATTCTCAACATGAACATTGTTTATGTTTGGCTCTTGGCTGATTTCTTCGAAGCATTTTTTCAGTGGATCTCCGCAAAGATAAGGGTTGCCTTCATAAGAAGGAGTTGAGAAACCTTGAAGCTGAGTCCCCGTAGGAATTTTTCCTGAAAGGTTATTGTATGACAAATCCAATACTCCCAACCTTGATACTTGAGATAAACTAGATGGAATTGGACCAAACAAATGATTTCTTGATACATCCAAGGAATCCAATGATTGAAGCTGGCCAATTTTGTCGGGAATTTGACCTGTTAATTCATTCCTCGAGAGATTCAAATTAATCAAACCAACAAGCTCTGTGATTTCATTAGGAATTTTCCCACTCAAATGATTGCAAGATAAATCGATGCTCCTTTCAAGTTTCATTGTTTCTTTTGTAATGAGTCTCTCTTCACCTTTCCACATCATGACAAGATCATTCCGATGATAATAAAAATTGTCATAGTCATTTTTGTATGATGTTTGTGCCAAGAAATTGAAATTAAGGATGCAAGTTGGTATGCTCCCTGAAACATTATTGGATGAAATATCCAATACTTTAATTTGTTCGAGGTTGCAGAGACCTCCTAAGTTTCCGTGGAAGTGATTCGACTTCAAATTTAGAAAAGTCAAATTTGGTAACTTCGATCCAATCCACGATGGTATTGTTCCAGATAAATTATTATTCATTGCATCAACGACTTCCAAATTTGTCAAGTTGAACAAAAAAGGTAACCCTCCCGAGAACTTATTGTTGCGTAAAACTAAGGATATCATGTCAATAAGATTACCGATGGAGTGTGGAATGTGTCCAGAAAAATAATTGTTAGACAAATTTAATATGCCTAAATTGAGCATGGAATCCCAACAATCAGGGAGTTGTCCTGATAATTGGTTGTCAGAGAGATCCAATGTCCATAAAGGAGAGTCGATGATTTCACATCAGCCACTTAAGTCTGAGAGATCATTAATTGAAAGATGGAGGAATTCTGCTTGAAAAAGAAAGGCAGGAATTCGCCCCACGAATTTGTTCGACCCTGAATAGATAAGAGGTGCACTTTTGAACTTGAGTGACAAATTTGGAATTTCACCCATCATTTTATTCCCATAAAGATTCAGAACATCCAATTCCGGAGACAAGTTATTCCAAAACCAATGAGGAATGATGTCTGAAATTCCAGCAAATGAAATATCAATCTTAGAGAAATTTTGGGTTCGAAGCCACCTCGGAAAAAGTGGGCCCAACTTGCAGTGTCCCAAACAGATTGAATACAATTGAAAAGAAGGAACCCAATCCGTCTTGAAGTTTAAATTCAAAGGATTATTAGATAGATACAATCCTTTTAAATTTGTAAGCTTTGAAAAATGAGCTTCTGAAACTTCACCCTCCAATGAATTAGAACCAAGATGTAAGAACTCCAAGTTTGATAATTTTCCCAAATTTTGGGGAATTGGGGAATTGTTCCATTCAACATGTTGTGAGATAGTACTAAATGTTTCAAAGATGGAAGCATGGTAAAATTTGGCAAGAATCCACAAAATTGGTTACGTCCAAGGCTTAAATACTGTAACGAGTTAAGTACACGAGGGTGGAGGGCTTTTAGAAAATCAAATAGCAATCCTCCTATACTATTGCCATATAAGTATAATGAATTTAAATTACGAAGACGCTCAAAGGATTTGAGAGAATCAAAATTAACTTTAGTGAAACTAAGATCGAGACATAAGAAAAGTCATATTTCCAAAATCATCAAAGTTCAAACCTCCTAGATTGTTGTATGCAAGATTCAAATGGGCAATATTAGTAAAGTTGGTCAACCACGAGTGATAAATCGAAGAATTCAGATCATAATTGGACGAAAGGTCCAACTCAACTAGAAATCTAGAGAAATTGGTGTATTAATAAGATGGCAAAACCGGTGGTGAAAGGTTACAACGACTTAGTGACACACTTTGTAAAAGAGGAAGTTTGTTAATGACACCTACCCAGTCATTGGCACCACTAAAGTCTCCTCCACTCAAGTCAAGATGTTATAGAGAAGAAAGACCGGAGAGCCATCTAAGGTTACCAACATTTAACCAATTTTTTGATCCAAGATCGAGAACAGACAATTTTGAAAGGTTCCCAAGTTGGGGAGGAATAATGACACTTACAAACTGACGATTATAGGATAGGTTGAGATAATTCAAATTGACAAGAGAACCAATATCTTCAAAGAGAATCCGATCGAATTTATTATAACTAAGATCTAAGTATTTGAGGTTTGACAATTGAGTCAAGGAAGAACAACCAACCTTATCCTTCAAATACTTATCATCCGAGCCACGAAGATCAATCCCAATGACATGATGACCTTCAGTTTCGTTGCTGCATCGAACAGCACTCCAATTGCAGCAATCATTATTGAGCCAAGAAGAGAGTATACCATATTCATCCATGAGGCGTTGCTTGAAGGATAAGAGCACTTGTCTTTCACTCTCGACACACGTGATATTCTCTCCCACAGATGGGCTGAATCGTCCAAGGCCAACATTTATAAGATATCTCCTTCAGTACTTTTCATTTAGGCTTTTCAATTTTGAATTTTGAGTAGGTGTTAGGGGCCAAGGAAAATAAATCTATATATGTCATCATTATCACTATTTTGTAATTGAATATAAAATTTACCAAAAAATTAAATAAAAGTCTGGTCACATGATTTCCTTCTTTCTTACCTGTGCTGCCCTATTTGAAAACTATTGATGATGACGTGTTAAATTTCTAATTTTCTTCTTACATATATTTGTATGCATTGTTGAATTATTGTGCCTTAAATTCTACGGATTAGGTGTGTTTCAAAGAATTAATTTGCAATCCAGTGAGATAAAAGGTCAAAGTCTTCCTCCAAATTTTACTTCAACAACTTTAATACAACAACACGTGGGAGTGCGAATTCACACGCATGGTCTTTTAGTTTGACAAACACGTGGGAGTGCGAATTCACACCTATGGTCTTTTAGTTTGACCAACACGTGGGAGTGCGAATTCACACCCATGACCTTGTTGTTTGACAAACACGTTAGTTTGACAAACACGTGGGAGTGCGAATTCACACCATGATCTTTTAGTTTGACATACATATCTTTATTAGTTTGACTCAATTTGATATAATTAGTTGAAACTTATTTCATCTTTTTTTTTATTAGAAATAGATATCTTCCAATCCAGTTATTATGATATAAAATACACAAATTAATAATGTTTATGTGGATAGTTGAATTTTTAGTTTTTTATCTAAATAATGATCCATTTGTAAAATAATATTGAGAATATATAGAGAGAAGTTTGTTATAAAACAAATAAATTGCTAATAAACTTTTTTTTCTTTTACAACATATGGGAGTGAGGATTCGAACTTACGAACTGTTAGTCGAGAATAAGTGATTTAACAAATTGAGCTAAACTCTTTACGTTACAAGGTAGTAGTATCAATAATAATAAACTCTTTAATGAAAATATCTAATGAAAATTTTTAACTTAAAAAATAAAAATAAAGTTACTCTATAAATCTAAAATAGATTTATAAATTTTTGTCTTGCTTAATTTTATGACTAAATACAAAAATAACAAAATAAAACACTATCACCACACGGTTTGATTTCTTTATTTCTTTAACATTGGGCGAAGATAGTATTAAATGTTTGCATGAATTTTATGTTTGAATTAATTTAATAATTAATTCATACGTGGATGACAAATTAAAGAAGAATATATTTGGACTATTTAATGGGCAAATAAGTGATCTTGATTATGGGCCCATGACTAGTGGTGTGGCAAACCAGCCCATTAATCTTAGGGGATTATGGAAACCCTAGGATTAACCTATATGGTATGTTTCTTGAGCCTCATGTTCCCTACCAAACAGAGAGTATTGCTCATATTTGGTCTGGGTTGCATAGTTGAGTAAGACCACAAACCACACCTTCTTGCAGATCATGATCAATCTATCATCTCTTTATAGCTTAGATCTTTGGTCTTGATTGTTCTGTAATTTTATGGCTTTTATTTTAGAATAATCATGATTTAGGATTTGTTTACATTTTCCAACAAGTAGTATCAGAGCTTGTTTTGCATGGATGATTACTGGATCTTGGTGAGTTACTTAGCATGTTATTTATGTTGCAATCATTTGGATTGATAAGATGTTGAACAATTTTGCATGACTTAGAATCTTTAATTGTTTAAAATTGTTCAAATCTCTGTACATGAATGATTTGATAAATTTAATATGTATTTAATTTTCAAATACATGAATATATGAATCGTAACGTTCCAATTAAAAAAAATAGCTAAAGGCATTGTGTCATGAGAAGGTTGCGACACTCCACCACTTGCACGTATGGTTCTAGGGCTAATTCCTAGCACCAATTTTATTTAAGTTTGATCATAAGTCAAACAAAATCTTAAAGGAAAAATGAATGTCATAAAGATTTTGTTGAAACAACAAACAACGAAGATATTTTACATTTTGTTATATTGCTTTTAAAAACAATGTTAACAAATATAGGGCTTATCTTGTTGTTATGGTTTCAATCCTGAACTTTCATTTAAATTGAGAGAAAGTTTTATATTTTTACTTTAACCCTTTATTATTTTATTTTATTTTTTAAATCAAAAGATCCATATTTCATCACTTCAAGAAATGTATATTTTTAATCCGTTTTGAAGGATTTTATTTTTCAAATCCGATTATTTAGGCTCCGTTTGATAACTATTTGTTTTTTGTTTTTATTTTTGGTTTTTAGTTTTTAAAAAACATGGTTGTTTGACCACTAATTCAATAATTATTTGGAAGAAGGAGAAGTAACCTAAACATGCATATGTATATGTGCAAAACTTTTAGTTGTAATTATTAATTACAACTATTATATATATATCGACTGGATGCATGTTATGGGGACTATTTTAGTTCAATAATTGTTTGAGATTTCAACTTCAGACCTTTTTATTCAACATATAAATCTTTAATCAGATAAGCGGTGTTTGAGTTGTTATAACCTCACAAATATTGCTTTCCATCCTTTTTGTGAATTTATTTTATTTCATGTTCATATTATTTCAATTTGGTATGGTATTTGAAATATTAATTAATTAGGCTAAAGATGATATTTTTTTTCTTTTTCTTTTTCTTTTAGGTTTTACAAGCTGATTGCCCACCAGAGGAATTCGACATTTTATTGGATATGAGGTGGTGATGTAAATTTTCATTCAAATAGAAAATAATTTAATTTCCTTTTCATGTACTGATTTATTTATTTCCACATCTTTTATCATAAATAATATAAGACATAGGTATTAATTGTTGATGCAGGAATTTGGTCATAGTCTTCGATATTGATAGCTCCAAACCAACACCGACATACAAGAAAAAATTGTGAACGAGTGTCGTTCTAAGCCCAACACACTTTGGTCATGTTAACTAGCTAGGCCTTTACCAATGAAATATTTTGGGAGTTCTTAATTTTAGACAAATAATTATATATTATTAATCTGTTTCTTGTTCAAAAAAATTTATATATTATAAATCTTGTATTTCAGTAGTGTGGGTTCACTTAATTTCATTCATACATGTCACCATCTTATCTGAATTTTGGGATTGAATATATTAAAATCATCAAAAACAAAATTTAAAAAAAAAATTAAAACACTTGGCCTCATTTGATAATCATTTCGTTTTTTTATTTTTGGTTTTTGGTTTATTGTTTTTCAAAAACATGGTAGTTTGATAACCAATTCAATTTTGTGTTTTTTGTTTTTCAAAAACCATTTTAAAATTCTATGTAAATTTCAAAAACAAAAAAAAAAAAGTAGTTTTCAAAAACATGTTTTTGTTTTTCAAAATCTGGTTTCTTCTTCTAATACTCAACTTTTTTTTTCTCATATTTATCTCTAAAAAATTTATTTTCACTCAAATTTTTTATTTCTAAATTTCGATCTCTAAAATTTTCATATTTTGAATATTTATTGTTATTTATTTTTATATTTTCTATCTCTAAGTTTGTTTTCACTATAATTTTTCTCTTTCATATAATTTCTTTTTTTTGTTTAACATATCTTTTCATCTCGACTTTATTTTTTCTCCAAAATTTTTCTCTTTTTGTTTTAACTTTTCTTTCACTATTTTTTTCTAAATATTTTTATTTATCTCTCTAAAATTTATCTTCCAAAAGTTTATTTACAGCTCTATTTTCTTCGAATAAACTAGAGTACATATAGRATACACCGGTGCTAAAACCTTTTCTCAAGATATCTTCCAAACTGTTGGGGTCGACAAAAATTTCCACAGGGTCGGGTCCAAAAAATAGAAAATGCATGTCCCGACCCCGTCCTTAATTCCATTTTTAAATAATTAATATATATTTATTACACATTTTTTATATTTAAATTCTAAATATAATTAAAAAAAATTATAAAACCGATAATTTTTCTCGAGAACATCTCTCGGACCCAAGAACGAGGTGGAGATGGAGACTAAAAATTTTCATGAGCCCGAAAATGGGAGAGAGCAACCTCGCACCCACATCATCTCTACTCTACATAAAATTCTCTCTCTCATGTATTTTCAATTTTCTAACATTTTAAAAACAAAAAACTAATTACCAAACGTGTTTTGGTTTTCTGTTTGTTAAGAACAAAAAATGGTTATCAAACGTTTTTGTTTTTTAAAAACAGAAAACCAAAAACCAAAATCTAAAAACAACCAAAACCAAAAACCAAAAACTAAAATGCTTATCAAACCGACGCTTAGCTATATATATATATAAAATTAAAATGGGAAAAGAGAATATGACTGAATTTTTTTTATAATTGAAGGGCCAAATATATTAAATCGTCCCCGTTCATGAACTAAAATATGTAATTCAAAAAAAATTACAATTTCATGCTACAAACAAAAGATGTTTCTTATTCTTAGAAGACGTAAAGAGAAATGCCAAACACTTTCATTTTCTGAATTCCATTTTTTCCTTTTTTTGAAACAACCTTCCATGCTTTTTAATGGTTAAGACATTGTAACCAAACAAAAGGCCTATCAAAAAAACTTCAGGAAATACTAATAAGAACAAAACACAATTAAAACAGACAAACAACATATATACTCATAAACGAGAGGCAATACAACAACTCATTTATGGAAATAAGTCTCAAACAAACTCTATTAATGTTTGGGAACTAGAACGAACGGTATCACGCTAAGTAATAACATATCTCACTGAAGATATTACAAATAGTATCACGTTGCTCTTAAAAAATTTGCTACACTCTGACTACGCATCTCCTAGGTGCCTGTAAAAAAAAATTCATTTCAAATATTAAGCATATATAAATAATAAAAATAAATGATTACACAATTTTTTAAAGAATAATTAAGGACTCAAATTATAAAGGCAGAAAAAGTACCTGTTTTTAGTTGTTTTCACACCTAAAAAATTTGAAGAATGCATGTCTCCATCTTCTATTGAGTACCAAACTCCCAAATATTCCCCAAAAACCCACAATAAATCCAAACGCCATGCTGATCAGAAATTCTCGTCCAAATAATTTGTCTTCATCTTCATTTTCATTCTCAACATGAACATTGTTTATGTTTGGCTCTTGGTTGATGTCTTCCGAGCATTTTTTAAGTGGATCCCCGCAAAGATAAGGATTGCCTTCGTAAGAAGAAGTTGAGAAACCTTGAAGTTGAGTCCCCATAGGAATTTTTCCTGAAAGGTTATTGTATGACAAGTCCAATACTCCCAACCTAAATACTTGAGATAAATGGGATGGAATTGGACCAGACAAATGATTTCTCGACAGATCCAAAGATTCCAATGATTGAAGTCGACCAATTTTATCTGGAATTTGACCTGTTAATTCATTCCTCGAGAGATTCAAAATAATCAATTCAACAAGCTGGGTGATTTCATAAGGAATTTTCCCACTCAAATGATTGCAAGATAAGTCAATGCTCCTTACAAGATCCATTACTTGTCCTGTGATATGTCTCTCTCCACCTTTCCACACCATGAAAATATCAGTCTCATAATTAGGATGACCAGAGAACAATGTTTGTGTTAGGGCATTGAAATTACGAATGCAAGTTGGTATGCTGCCCGAAACATTATTGGATGAAATATCCAATATTTGAATATATTTGAGGTTGCAGAGACCTCTTCCTAAGTTTCCATGAAAATGATTTGACTTCAAATTCAGAATAGTCAAATATGGTATCTTCGACCCAATCCACGATGGTATTGTTCCAGATAAATTATTATTCATTGCATCAATGACTCCCAAATATGTCAAGTTGAACAAAAAAGGTAACCCTCCTGAGAATTGATTGTTGCGTAAAACTAAGGATTCCATGTGAATAAGATTACCGATCGAATGTGGAACGTCCCCAAAAAAATAATTGTTAGACAAATTTAATATTTTTAAATGGAGCATGGAATCCCAACAATCAGGGAGTTGTCCTGATAATTGGTTGTCAGAGAGATCCAATGTCTCCAAGGGAGAGTTGACGATTTCACATAAGCCACTTAAGTCTGAGAAATCATTGCTCGAAAGATGGAGAAATTCTGCTTGAAAAAGAAAGGCAGGAATTCGCCCCACAAATTTGTTCGACTTTAAACTGATAACAGGTGCCATATTGAACTTGAGTGACAAATTTGGAATTTCACCCATCATTTTATTCCCAGAAAGATCCATGCCAGGAGACAGGTTATTCCAAAACCAATGAGGAACGATGTCTGAAATTCCAGCAAATGAAATATCAATCAAAGTGGGAGTTTGAGTTCGAAGCCACTCCGGAAAAAGTGGACCCAAGTTGCATTGTCCCAAAATTATGTAATCCAATTGAAAAGAAGGAACCCAGTCGGTCTTCAAGTTTAAACTCAAAGAATTATTAGATAGATCCAATCTTTTTAAATTTATCAGTTTTGAAAAATGAGCTTCTGAAACTTCACCCTCCAATGAATTAGAATGAAGATCTAAGTACTCCAAGTTTGATAATTGTCCCAAATTTTGGGGAATGGTTCCACTCAATGAATTAGAATGAAGATCTAAGTACTCCAAGTTTGATAATTGTCCTAAATTTTGGGGAATGGTTCCACTCAATGAATTCCAACCAAGATCTAAGTACTTCAAGTTTGATAATTGTCCCAAATTTTGGGGAATGTTTCCACTCAATGAATTAGAATGAAGATCTAAGTACTCCAAGTTTGATAATTGTCCCGAATTTTGGGGAATTGTTCCATTCAACATGTTGTCAGATAGTTCTAAATGTTTCAAAGATGGAAGCATGGTAAAATTTGGCAAGAATCCACAAAATTCGTTAATCCTGAGGCTTAAATACTGTAACGAGTTAAGTACACGAGGGTGAAGGGCTTTTAGAAAATCAGATAGCAATCCTCTTATAATATTTCCCGATAAGTCTAATAAATTTATATTACGAAGACTCTGAAAGGATTTGAGAGAATGGAAATTAACTTGAGTTCCACTAAGATCGAGAGACACAAGAGAAGTCATATTTCCAAAATCATCAAAGCTCAAACCTTCTAGATTGTTGTATGCAAGATTCAAATGGACAATATTAGTAAAGTTGATCAACCACGAGTGATAAATGGAAGAATTCAAATCAAGATTGAGAGAGAGGTCCAACTCAACTAGAAATCTAGAGAAATTGGTGTATGAATGAGATGATAAAATAGGTGGTGGAAGGTTACAATCACTTAATGACAAACTTTGTAAAAGAGGAAGTTGGTTAATGACACCTACCCAGTCATTGGCACCACCAAAGTCTCCCCGACTCAAGTCAAGATGTTGTAGAGAAGAAAGACTTAAGAGCCATCTAAGATTACCACTTGACCAATAATTGTTTCCCAGATCAAGAACCGATAATTTTGAAAGGTTTCCAAGATGGGGAGGAAGGGCAGTTTTAAACCAATTATAGGACAGGTTGAGATAATTCATATTGACAAGAGAACCAATATCTTCAAGGAGAATCCGATCAAACTGATTATAACTAAGATCTAAGTATTTGAGGCGTGACAATTGAGTTAAGGAAGAAGAACCAACCTCACCCTTCAAATACTTGTCATGCGAGCCACGAAGATCAATCCCAATGACATGATGACCTTCAGTTTTGTTGCTACACCGAACAGCACTCCAATTGCAGCAATCATTATTGACCCAAGAAGAGAGTATACCATATTCGTCCGTGAGGCGTTGCTGGAAGGATAAGAGCGCTTGTCTTTCACTCTCGACGCACTTGATATTCTGTCGTAAAGATGGGCTGAATCCAAGGCAAAGACTTATGGGCATAGAAAGCAGAAGGAAGAGATGAATGGAAGCAAAGCACCAAAATAGAGTGATGGAGATCATTGTTGCTGGTGGCTTTGTAAATTATCTTCCCAACTGCATCAATTTATATGACGTTTTGAAATTTTATATTTATTTTTCGAATTAATTATCGGGCTTTAATATACTTTTGAAAACATTTTTTCTCCCCACAAACTTGGTTTTAATTTCACGATAAGATATTCCCTTCAGTATTTTTCAATTAGTCTTTTCAATTTTGTTTGGAAGTTAGGGGCCACTGATTCATTAATGCTTCATTTTGCGGAAAAAAAAGTTATAATTAATTCGTGGATTCCTTTTGAAATTTAAAATAATTGGTTGAAACTTATCTGTTTTTATATCTGAAATAGATATCTTCTAATCTTATTATTATTGTATAAAATTCACAAATTAATGATATTTATGTAGATATTCGAACTTTTGGTTTTTTTTTCTTTTTAATTTAACAAAGGATTAAATTTAAGAAATATATATTGAATACATATAAGTTTGTTTATATATATATATATAAAATTTTGTTATATAAAACAAATAAATTGTTAATAAACTTGTTCTAAAAAAAATTGTTCAATATTTAAATGAAATTAAATTTCCTCATATGTTCCCTTCAGTATTTTTCAATTAGTCTTTCTTCGATTTTATGTTGAATTGCATTATCAAAGAAAATCAATGAAATATAAGTCGATATGTTTAACCCAGAAAATCAATGAAATATAAGTCGATATGTTTAACCCATCAAAACTAAGATTGAAAATACTGCTAAAAAAAAGATTGAAAATTAATTTATTTAAAGATATAGTTATTCAATATTTATCAATATTCTCTATTTCCAGTCCCTCCCATTCTTTTAAATTGGAAATAAATGTTTTGGCTTCCGGAAAAAGTTATCACCACAAAAATTGTATATTTAGCTTTTTTTTTATTTTTATTTTAAGAAATTGATATTTGAAATCCGATCACTTATAAATGTGGTGATATGAATTTAACATTCAAATGGAAAATGATTTAATTTTCCACACATTTTCTTTGAAATATTTTATCATATACAAAGGTATGATTTTGATCCTACAACAAAGCATCTATGAAAATATTTAGGGAAGCTTTTAACTTTTAGAAAAAAAATTATATAAAGATAGATTTACACAATAAATATCGTGTCTCGCTTAATTTTGTAATTGAATATAACAATATCAAAAGATTGAAAACATTAGAAAAGTGATCATATGGTTTTCTTTCATTTCACATGTGTGGTACCCTACTTGAAAACTATTGATTAAGACGTGTTAAATTTCGAATTTTATTCTTACATATATTTGTATGCATTTCAAGTGGTTGCATTATTGTGCTTTAAATTTTACGGAATAGTCATGTGGCAAAGAATTAATTTGCGATCAACCAATGAGATAAAGGTCAAAGTCTTTGCCCAAGTTTTACTTCTACAACTTGTTCGAGAGGTCACCATCATCTTTTTTTAGTACAACGACACTATATAAAGTAAGGCTATATATATATATATATTTCACTTTTTTCTTTAGTACAAATTCCAACTCACAATATATTCAATATAGACATCATCTAGAAAATAGGTTATATATCTGGATATTTATTTTATTTTTGGTCGAAAATAGGTGTCTTAACCAATTAATCCAAATTGTGCTAAAATTATAAAATAAAAAACAAAACTATTTCATCCACATATGTCATCTATCTAGAAAAGTCGTTGATTTCGTTTCAATATATTGTATCCATAATTTCCATAGACATGTGTGTTAAATTTCTAGTTGTAGTTTTATATGTATTTGTATACATCTTGTTTCAACACTTTTTTTTCTGTCAAATCGAGCATAACTTAGCCATAATTGATATATATCTCCAATCGAAATTGTGAGCTCAATCTATATCCCTACCTGTTGTACTAAAAACAAACATTTTTCTATGTAATTAGAAAAATAAACGTAGAACATAAAGGAAAAACAAGAACAATTCCATCTTGAAAAAAAATGAAAAGTTGGATGAAAAATATAATTTCTTTAAAAAAAATGAAAGCATTAATAAATATTTGGAAGAATGATAAGTATTATAGTATTTGCAAGACTCTAATTGTAATTATTATTATTTGTAAAAAAAATGTAAATATTAATCTTTCATTGTATATATCAACCTACTAAGGAGACAAAGTATTTGCGTAAATTTTACTTCTAAATTAGCTCAAGTCGTAGGTCACAACATTGTTGTCATGTCATCAGAATTTATTTTTATTTTATAATCATATTAATTCTAAGTAATTTTCAATTTAATAAAAAATTTGAACAACTTTAATTTTACAGGAGAGATTTTTGTTTGTTTGCTTTTTTTCTTCTTTGAAATTCGGATATTTGACCATTTAGTTGATGATATATGTAATTATGTTTAGTTGGCTTTAACCATAATATTAACATAGAAGTTTAATTATTTAAATCAATTTAATTTTGTTTACTTTTACACTTTTTTTTTTTTACAATTTTCCTAGATTCTT